TTCAGATACACCCTGTATATCCGGGATAATAGTACTCACTTTTATCCCGTGGAAAAAAAGTAATTTATGAAAAGTGACATTTTGTAACCTGTCACCAGAGATAAAATGTCAAACTTTTTTCCCGTCACAGAAAAAATACATGTTTTCGTCGACCTCATCGAAAAAAATTACATTTTACGTAGGCGCTAATTTCATAATGAAAAATCGACTATTACCAAAGGCAACTACTTTCGGTCCGCAAACCGAGGGGTAAGAATTTAGTCATTTTAAGTACACCGGGGGGGAGGGGGGGTCAAAGAATGCCTCATTTCACCGAAATTGCCCTGCAATACCTATTTTTACTCAACAATGCCTCCCAATGAACATAGGTTCGAAAAAAAACGTTATCAGAAAAATTTTAGTACAGCCATTTCGAGAGCCATTCACTCATCTTGTTGGAATATACCGATAAAATCGGAATGAACCATCACTTTTGATTATGATATCGTTGATACGGACCTCGATGATAATGATGTGAATGCAATTTCATTAGACTATCTCAAACCTTTACATAAAAATTGATAAGTCGTAAAGAACAATAACGAATAATCAATCAATCTTGACACAAAAACTGTTCAGATTTGTGTCCTCATTCTATAATCTGAAGAATAATATCCAACCCAATTCATATTTTCTTTCTGAAATCTTTAAAATCTTTGTTGAAATAATATATTTATAACTTGACATTTGCAAATATTTCGTTGATACTCCAAGAATAAGAATATTCTACTTTTGGAACGAAGAACCATGTACCCTAAATAAATACCTGGAGAAAATTCAAATTCTCTATTTGAAAATGTTTGAATGCGCACTGAAAACATTTGAATACTTTTATACGAGCTTTTATATTTGTTATTTGAATACTTCATTACTTTAACATTTGTAAATATTTAATATTCAAATTTTTTCAATCCACCCAAGTAAGTATTTGATACTTAATAACAAATAATTTTTTCCTAAGTGGTTGCACAGCTTTGGGTCTGGGTTATTAAATAACATTCAATCAAAATGCAAATTACGTATTTTATTCTTCATATAATGATTGGAACGCATCCAATTTCCCAAGTTCACTTCCATAAAAAAATACTTAGGATATTGCTCGGGATATTGCTAAAAAATATATCTAATTATGACTGCTCGATAGAAGAATATCAAAGTGTTTTCGTTCAAATTATGAAAATGTTTAGCAATATCATTTTTGTGATTTCTAATGCAACATTCCAAAGGAAGCAAACGCGACATACTTACATAAACGTTGATTAAAAATACATATTCCGAAACATTTTCCCATAACGTTTTATATGGAAAACTGAAAAATAATACTGAGTGAGTTTTAGTCGAGTTTTAGTCTATCCAAAGTCAGTCGCCTCGAGCAAGGAATGTCTGTCCGTGCACGGACTTCAAACGAACTTCAAACGAGCCGACATTGCGCTGGGTATGATTTTTACGGGAGCTGTTCCAATTGACTTTGGAAGGACATACTATGAATTACTAAAAACAAATCACACAAATGCCGGGAAATAAATGACAAATGACATGATACCATTGCCATAAATTCCGGCGTTCCACAAGGATCAATTTTGGCTCCAACATGGTTCCTTATTCATATCAATGATCTGTTGCGAGCAACCACTTGCCCTATCCACAGCTTTTCTAGAATTCCGAATTCTTCCCAGGAAACTAAAAACTTAAGACAAAGGCAGCAATGTCTGGTACTACCATTCACACCAAGACCACTAGGTATTACCATCAGCAATACTCTTTCATGGGAGAATCATGTCAGATCCATCGCGAAAGCTGTTTCGCAAAAACTCGGGTTTCCATTCCGTGCGAATATCTACTTTACAAAGCACAGATACGGCCAGTCTAAGAATACTGTACTCACATATGGGGTTCCAAATATACCCAAACATACGCTAGTGCTCTTAGATTCCATCCAGAGAAGAGCCATTCATCTCTTGTGTGATGCCACACTCACTAGTACTTTGACCTCATTAGAACACCGTAGAAAAGTCGTCGACCTTTCACTTTTCTATAGATACTACCACGGAACATGTTCCTCAGAAATCTCTGCTAGCATTCCATCACTAGCAATACCATCAGTCAGACGAATTCGACAGGCCCAGTCAGCACATCCTTCCGTTGTCAATATTGAAATATGTCGAACAACACTCCACCAAAACTCTTTCGTTTATAGAATTCTTTGCCAATTGTAAGCATTCTCAAGTACTTATAAACTCCAAAAGCTCAAAAAAATCCAATACCTATCTCCTCTCCCTATCTATCCTACCTAAGTACGCACGATATTTTTCGAACATCATAAGAATTTTCTTTCGTGCGCTCCAAGAGTCATTGCTCGTCTGCTACAAACCGAGTACGAAACTTTATAGCTGTGCCGCCACGTTCATTTTGAATCAATTCTTATTCTTTATTTTGTTTCCTTCCCCAGAATATCTATTGAAGTTAATACTATTAATTTGAGTTTCTCACACTCATTGTTACGGGTTATACATTATGTTATAAAACTTCTTCCATGTTTTTCAAAAGCTATTGTCCAAATGATTGAGATGTTTCATCCGAATAATCCTCTTGAATTGTCAATTTGGCAACGATTCCCACCACGCCCCCCCAAAAAGGTTGAATGCCCAGGATCAAGTGCCGCCATATAACTAGCTTACGTTATATGATAGCTCCTCATCCCCATGTCCATCCACCCCCACTCACTAACGAGTGGACTTCAACCTTATGCATTTGGCAATCTGCATATGTTTTATAAAACCCCTTACTTGGTTTCAGCACAGTTGAGAGAATATATACATATTCTCTCAACTGTGGTTTCAGTCTTCCGACTTTTAAACCTTTTTGTCTAATGTGATGATGTGTGTTTCCTAGCCTGACTTTGCGTGGTGGTTCCCTACCCTAATGGGAAGCAAAATTGAGTTTATGTCTTATTATTATTATAACTTTTTTATAGGGTATCGAAGGAGAGACTCTTTTGTTTAATTATCTGATGATTATTATGCAACTTTTATTGATATTGATTTAATTCCGTTCTTTTATCTTATATTTGGTCTGAATTGGGCGCCTGTACTTTATTCTTCCGAAGCGCGGGTCTTGATTTAATTGTCTGTTGGTCTCCGCGTGTTGTCTTATGTAGTTGTCTATGTAGTCTGGGTTTATGTTCTGGTCCCTATAGATGAATCTATTTGGGATATACCATGGGGCGTTTACTGCCATTCTTATTGAGACATTTAGAAATGCCTGTATTCGCTTTTTGTATGTTTCTGCGCATTGGCCCCATGCACTGGATGCATACAAAATGATTGGAAGTAGAATGGTTCTTATTAGGCGCAGCTTCAACTCTAGAGCCATGTTGCTTCTGCGACCTATTAGAGGCTGTAGGTTTTGCCTTGCGGCTTTACCCAGGTTTAGTCGTGTTGTAATGTGTTGTCTGAAAGTGAGTTTGTTATCTAGGGTTACCCCTAGATATTTTGCCTCGTCTGCCCATGGTATCTGTATGTCGTTTAGTAGGCAACGGTTCCACAGAGGTTCTCAGAATGTGTCCTTTCCACACAGGAATAAGCATATATGAAATCTCATATTTTAACAAGTGACCTAATAAATTCATGCCGGCTTGCTGTATTCAGCAAAATGATGTATTTGAAAATTTGAAACTAGAAGCTGCTCCAGATAAACTTGTTTGATCATTTTTCGGCTGTCTCAAATACACAGGGTGTTTCTGAACTCCACCGAAATCTCTCGTGAGCTCATTCCAAAAAACAGTAGAAAGTGCGTATAGTCCGGAAATTCTTACTCAGGCAAAGATGGAACACTGAGAATGCTTTTCCATTCAATATTTCCGACAATATTCAATAGAAAAAACAAAAGTTGGCACAATCAATAAGAATTTCAGGCTTGATTATATGTTTTATGAATTATCCATTGAACAATGTTTTGTTGCTGAAATATTATAGTGCCATGTCAAAAATTCTAAACAAAATTCTACAAAAAAGTTTGAGTGCATGGTTTTCACCCTCCTTCCCCCTTGTTTGCATCACTTCTTGATGTTTTCTTCAGAATATTCCTAGGACTTCTGAACAAGTAAAAAATTAATCCTCATCGACTGTGCCAACTTCTTTTTCATTCCATTGTCGGAGATATTAAATGGAAACCATGAGGGGTTCCTTGAGGACAAATTTTCGGACCCTTGTTGATATACTTTTTTCTCATTTTTGTTTGAGAATCCGCTTAAGAAAGTTTACGGTGGAGTTTAGAAACACTTGGTATACTCCTCTTATCTATCAAATTAATCATTAATTCATCAAATAAACGAAATATATATCTTGTGCTCAGCATATTTCGATTGGTATTGATGTTGTATCAACAATATTTGTGTTTGAGATAACCCTCGAGATAACCATATATTTGGTGATCGAATTGATATACCTACAGAGTGACTTACAATAAATATATCATAACAAGGTTCAAGGTATACTATCGAATGGCACCTTTGAACATACACATTATTTTGGGCAAGACCCCTTTTTCCGCCCAAAGTTCTACAGTGGCTTACTCGATATTTGTTTTCCATCAATTGAATGAAATTTCCCGTTACTCAGAAGACTCAAAAATAGTGTAATATTTTAGAAATATTTGTGAGCCTGTATCATATTGCTGTGTTACTTATTCGAAATGATCATGTATCTGGTTAATTCTCCAAAAATTTGCTCAATTCAACAAATATAAACACAGTTAATTTGTTGATGCAACAATTATTATTTTCAGTGAGAGTGTTTTCGAAGTGTTTCAAATTACTGAATCTATTTTTTTGTTGGCACTTCTACATATCATGGAATGCAAGTTTCATAAAAAATTGCTGATGATTGTTGAGAAGTGATTCAGTGATCGTGAAAATATATCTCGAAATATATTAAGTAACATTTTTTTTTCTTCAATTTCAGATCTTGCATCAGAATATGGCTACGATAGACGGCCGTCCCGCACAATATGGAATTTCCCTGAAACAGCTACGTGACCTTATGGAACATAGGGGACCCGATGGAATAGCCAAAATAAATGAATTAGGGGGAACACAAGAAATATGTAAAAAATTATATACATCGCCTAGTGAAGGTGAGTTACACATTTTCAATACAAGCTTCAAGTGTTCTTGTTTCCTGTATCTCTTAATTATTATAATTGACAAAGACAGGAGAGACATAGTGGCTCACTACACGAATTCTCGTAATGGAACATCCTGTTTTTTCCTTACTTCCGAAAACCTAACTACTTCAATTTTGAAAACCGTTTCAAAACTATTTTGATTTCTCAAGAATCTAGTTTGACTTGATATATTTTTTTTTGATCTTATGGAACACCCTGTATATCAAAGACTGGGAGCTCTGGCACAATAATCCAGCACATAACAATGTTCCATGATTGATTTTTGAAAGCTGTGGCATGTGAAACAAAATTCTTTTGAGTGGCTATGTACACACAAAAAATTCTAATACTCAGTAGCAAGTCTTCAATAGGGGCAACATACACTGGAAAAAAAAATGAGTGAATTTTCACTCAAACTTCACTCAATAATGTCTCAGTTTCGGTCCACACCCGATTTAGTTGAAAATTCACTCTACTTGACTGAGTGAAATGGTAATTGAATGAGTGAATATAAGGGATCACAATTGAGTCAATGTTCCCAGTTCGGATTTGAATATTATTTCAGCTTTGTGATTTCTTGAGTGAGTTTCAACTCATTTTTAAGTGCTTAGAACATTTATTGAGTATGTATATGCCCATTATTGAGTGCTTTTATACCCAAAATGAGTATTTCAAAACTTTTCATGACTGCATGGTTTTATATAATATTGAGTAAATATGATATATGATACAAAAGTTTATCAACAATCAGAGTAGATTACAATATAATTAGAATCACAATGTACTCCTAATGAAGAACAAAGCTATATAACACAATTTGAAATCATCAGTACATGCGGTCTCGCCTGCCGAAATCAAGTATGACTTCTTCTCGCTGCAGAATCTTACTAACAAGCTCGTTGACACGTTGACAGTCACATCAATCTGTGGACAAAAAATGCATATATAAACAGCTGATTCAAAAATGTATTCGTCAGAGCAGATTAGTTCTGGGTATATGTTACCTAAATAGAGACAAATTCACGAATATCGTTTCAAACAAATATTTTATATATCCCATGAATGATCACAATTGAATTATTCAATCAGTTTTGATAACACTTTCTCAATTAGGATTCAATATACCTAATTTGGAAAAAATGTGATCAATGATGATTCAATTTACTCATTTCTGATTCGAAATACTCTTATTTGAATGATTTTCAGTCACTATTGAGTGAAAAGAAAACACACGAACATGGCCGTGCATGGCTGTGAAAGACATCAACGGCTATTCAACAAAAGAATGCGTATATTGATTTATCTGAACGTCAAGGTAATCGGATATAAATCAACACTATATATACAATAAATTCTTAAAAATCACAGCATCCAAATGAATATTTGAATTATTTGATACAATTCACGATCATCAGCCATGTTGTTGAAAGCCATCATGTATTTTACGAAATCAAACTTACCCGCAGTATATAGGTATTCCCATACTTCACAGATATAAAATCATGCTGATAACATGTTTGTGCCCGAACTTGCAGCAAGTACTTCTATTCAATTATAATTCACTTCGCTGAAATGGAAAGCACAGGATTGTTTTTATGCACTTAACTTCCATCAAGCCTGACGCTGCTTTATCAATTGGACAAAACGGCCTCTGGTTAGTCTCGACCTGGCTCGAGTTTTCCTCGCTGATGACCACAGAGATTCGTACATTCCTTTACTTCATTAAGAATAATTAAAATATATAATATTGTGGTGACTTAGAACGGTCATCACGTTATTCCCAAATACACTGTTCACTGCTTGCACGTTGAGAAGGGACTGAGATGCTAAAAATTTCCTGCGCATAGACCGGCCCTTTCACCAATTATTTGATGAAATCGCTCGAGAATGAGTGATTCTCACATGTTTCATCTAATGATTGATTAGAAGCCACTCTAATATGGTTTCCTTGTTTGTTTTATTCCAAAATTTGTGCTATTCAATCAAATTTGTCATAAACATTGTCATTATTGGAACGAGTTGTGAAAATACCCAGATTTCATTGAATATTTACTCAAAAAGTTCACTCAGTAGATTAACTCATTACCAAATTCGCAGTCACTCAAAAGGATTTGTTACAGTGTAGATCTGTTTGGCAATTCGAAATATCTATCGGATTGATTATCACCAGGGACGTTCGCAAGGGGGGGTGCTTGTCCCACCCCCCTAGCACCTGGTCGTTACTCATCAGAAACTTTCTCAAGAAGATACATTTGCATTTGTCAATCCCTATTCTGATTCGCTCATGATAGTGATTTTGAAAGACTCTGTTTAATGAGTATTCATCGACATCTTATAAATATAGATAGAGTTAATTGTATCAACGAAGTAATTGATGAATTTTCTCAATACTCTAGGAATTTGCTATTTGTGTTTAAACAAGATTATGATTATCATCACGTGCGTTTTTTTATTATTGGCTGTAAAGAGAATGTGATGTCAATATAATTCATTTTGTTTTCTCATTTCCATGTTTTATATCGAATGATAGATTATACATCGAGGGAGTAAAGTGTATGATTTTTTTCCGAGGTGCTTTTGTAGCCAGATGACACTACAATGCCCTGAAGGAAAAAAGAATTCACTTCCGAGGTGTAGATATTAGTATACACTATAAATTTTCTACGGCTGTAACAAATAACAGTGACATTTTTGATTTCTTCGTCTTGTAGCCATCTGATTCCCTCTCAAGTTATGCTCATCTATTAGACAGCTCTGTCATTGCTTGACATTTGACATTCCCTGGCCGATGAGATTTTTCTGAAATAAAACAATGGAGTCATTGTGATATCAGATACGGAAATAAAATTGATGTCAAAGGAAATACCTCATTGATGATGATGATCGAACACAGTAAAACAAGAGCAATTTTCTGTTATAGCAGTAGAAAAACTATTATCCTTTCTCAAACTTTGTCAATTCAATGACCCTCTCTCAAACTTTGTCCATTCAATGTTGTACGAAAAGGGATATCGATAAAGGTTTTCGAGAAAAAACGTAAAAATGAAACCAGACTCATAATTATTTCGATGTACATACTGAGTAACCCATTCGAGCCATCCTCTCAGCTCAGATTACTGGGTTACCATAATATATGTAACATTCTGGAGTTTCTGCACTAATTCAGTCACATGACATACTAAATTTTGCCATCAGGAAAAGCTATACGGGGTGGACAAAAGAAGAAACTATAGCACTAATTCCGTCACATGACATACTAAATTTTGCCATCAGGAAAAGCTATACGGGGTGGACAAAAGAAGAAACTATACATATTTGATCTATAATAAGCCGATTCCAGGCCTATGTTTATAGGAATTTTCAGTCCTAAAATAAACCAAGGAATCGCGAATGTAAATGACGTGTCATGAGTTTTCGCTTTTCTCAGTGCAGTTTTGGCATTTCAAATCTAATCTCGAAATAAATAGGGTATATTTCTTCCTTCTTTGTCTTCTAATATGCGTTTCGAATGCCATCTTCAGAGGCTCTCTCTGAGGGGTCGTAACTCCTTTTGGGTCTTAAGGAGCCATGCTCGACCCCGTGTTTATGACCATTTTTTCCTATTGGTGGTGGTAGTAGCACATTTTCTTGAGATACACTGTGTACGCAAGTATAGCATCAAGAAGAAACTGAAGAAGTTCAAAATATTATTATTGAGCTACAGTACACATATTACTTAATCCTATATATATTTTCTGGAAAACTGTTATACTTCGCTGAATTGTTCTAATCCCTGATAAGTACCAACATAAATTTCCGTTACTGAGTAGATGATGGCATAATAATATATACCTACCTGATATTTATTTATATCGAAATGTATAAATAGAACCAGCGTAGGTAGGTATTTTCAGTATTTGTTGTATTGTCTTTTTACCCATTTAATTTCACCATCGCCGTTGTTATCTTTGTTATAATGATCATCGCTGTTTATTCATTAGTTATTCTGTCTATATTCTATGACCTGAGTCATATTCAAGTTATATCGTGAAAAAATATATTCCCAAATTATTGCTTTGGTGATTTTTATCGATGGCACGACAGTGGCGTAGCAATCGCAGCACGGAAACAATTTGGGTTCAAATTAGTATTGTGTGGCATCTTATTTGGGCATTATTATAGTAGTGGAAATAGTTGATAACACCTGTCGTTAATTCAATAAATTAATATTGTGTTAGCAAACGCCGATTTCGGATACCTGAACGTGCCTTAACTACCGTTGTACCTACATCTTTACTATATGAAAATACTGAGCAAAATACAACGAAACATTTAGAAACTTGAGTTACAATTTTTTGCCCACATTCTTGCATTTTCCGCTCATAATTGTAATACATTTGAAAACATTATCTAGAATGTGCATTGTCGCAAATTATTATCAACAGAATGAAGTGGGGTACCTATAAATAGCGCATGGTACAAAACAAGTTCTGTTTCAATAGCAGTGGCGTGACATGCTACGAATCATAGAATCATAACACGCTGTATGCTTGAATAATATATAGTTCGTTCTCTTTGCCTTTCTATTGTGAATGTCAATTTTTTTTACTGTTCCTCTGTTTTCGAAATAGACATTGAACACAACAGAATTGGGCAAATACTGTGAGAAAGTATTCAAATAATATATTTCAAATACTCTGAGAACTAAAAATCTTCAATTGTCAGTAGGAAATGAAAAGTGTATTTACATAATGAATACTCATGAATGATATTATTGATTTATTATTAATAAGACAAGATTTGAAAAACAACGGAAATAAATATGACATTCCTTCCCCCTCTAAAATAGTCAGCAATTTCAGCAGATTGTTGAGTCGAAAATTATTTGGAATGAATAGTATGTCTACTCACAAGTGTCTGCCACTTTCAGTGAACTGTTTTGATTTCGGAATAAAAAATCAGCAGATTCAGTACTGTCAGTTGAATTCGTA